CCCCCCCACGGGAGGGAACGACAAAAAAACCCAACTCGACATGTCGACCGCTGCCTAGATGATTTAACTCTCATAAATGTAAATTCTCACTTATTTCTAAGCCTTTGCTGATCAATTCATCGGTGGCAGTGTTTCATTAATCGATCTGCTGCCTTTTCTGTTCGGCAATTAATTGTACACACGCTGGTCCGAGTTTAGATCTTATTTATTGAATAAGTAAGTCTACATGCATCCGGTAAAAGCTAGTGACAGTAATCCGAAATTGCTTTGTATTCCCCTGTCAGACACTGAGTGTCCACTGAGTGTATAATCCTTCGACGTTCTCCCACGCGATGTGTTTGTCTCCGGTGGTCGTTGTTGCTTTGTGTCTGAAAGACAAGTGTGGATTTGTTTGAGTTCTTTATCTGGAAAGTGTTGTTGTTGTTGTTGTTGTTGTTGTTGTTGTTGTTGTTGTTATTGTTGTTGTTGTTGTTGTTGTTGTTGTTGTTGTTGTTGTTGTTGTTGTTGTTGTTGGTGGTGGTGGTGGTAGTGATTTTGACGTTGTTTTTGGTGGGGTTTTTTGGTGTTATTTCTCTGCTCGGCGTACTGACGATTATGAGAGTCTGTAGTAAAGTGATTATTTATTTTTACCTGATACGTAAGTTCGATTCCCAGCTACGAATGCTTCTTCTTTCCTATCAATGATCAATTATCTACCGTTAATGGGTGGTTGGCGGGTGCTCTGGTGTGGTTTGCTCCTTCTTTCCTATCAAACATCTATCGTCCTTATCTCCCCTTCTTCTTTTTTATGTTTGTTACTCTCTTGTGACACCTCTAATCTTCTGGCGCTCATATGACCTTATGCAGTTGCGAGCGCCGTAAAGTCTCTACTAAAACAAAACTCTCCTCCTTTTCTTTTGTATTTGTTACTCTCTCGTAACACCTCTAATCTTCTGCGCTTATATGGCCTTATAGTGTTGCAAGTGTCGTAAAACACTTACTGAAACAAACAAAAAATCGATCGTCCTTATCTTTCTCCTTTCTTTCCATTGTATGTTCCTCTCTAGTAACACACCCTAGTGTTCCCTCTAATCTTCTGGCGCTCATATGACCTTATGCAATTGCGAGCGCGTAAAACCTTCTACTTAAACTAAAAAAAAACCCACCCTAGTCTTTGGCGTCTATATGACCTATTTGTGTTGCAATATGACTCATGTTGTGGTCAGTGTTAACGCCGTTTAGTGAAATCAAATATTTTTTATTTTTATGGCCCGAAGACAGTTCTGATGGAGCTAATTCAAGAGCTCGTGTAGATTCTCACTCAAAACAAGCGTCGTACGTGGCTTATTTCTAAAACAGCTCAAACACAACACGTTTTATCATCGAGAACCTGTATTGAAATATAATGCAACGAATGTGTAAACATGATAGATTTGTAAGTGAAGAATTCTGACATAACACAGACACAAAAACAGCATTTCTGTCACCGATCATCCTCCACTCGTGTTTAAAACAAGCAAAGCTTTCTTTCACCTCACAAGCCATCTTTGACAGTAATCCGACGTGAGGAACTGCCGTCGGTCCACTCACGCTAAGCACCCCGTCAACATTATCAGAAGTAACAATCGCATGGATATTTGGGGAAACATGACGCAAAACATTATCAAAAGCAACATTCACAAATACATGTTATTCAAAAATGGCTTTCGCTCGCACTTCTTCAAGAACGATTATCTCATGCGTGTTAGTAAAAGGACATATAAACAACTGTCGTTCAAATGTAAATTTCCACGAATGTTGTCAAAAGTAACAATGACGTAAATATCGTCTCAAGAGAAGCTGAATGAAATTTAAAGTAAAACTGGCGTCAATAATGTCAAAACTTACAAAAGTAACAATCTCAAGAACAACCTTATGAACATGGCCAGTTGAGCGTTCACGGTGGACACTGCAGTGTAATAAAAAGAACAACACTACAAAGACAACAAAAGGCTCTCAAGAAATCGGAAAAGAGAACTACATAGATTATACCCACTAACAACAAAATTGTCCGAAGTATTTGAAAAGGAACGGAGAAAAAATAGTAGTACTTCAAGAACAAAGTCGAAAGAAATGGAAAAAATAAACAGTAAATAATTCAGGAGAACTGAATACTAAATGAAGCACAACTGAAAAAAAGACAAAAAGCTCACAAGAAATATGCGAAACAAAATAGGAAGTAAACACTATCCGAACAACAAATGAGCCAACTTACTTTAAATAGAGCGCAGGAAAAATAACGAAACTTCAAAGAAGGCAAAACAAGCTCACGCAAAAAAACCAACCAACGCGGAAGAACTGCTATAGCAACAGTATTGGCGAATATATTGTACAGTATTCATAGTGAATATTACACGGGCCTTTACTGAGCCGTGATATCGAAGACTAGAGCGGCTTATGAGATCAGACTTCGATCGTCAAGAGATACCGAAGTCAGTATATAACTATACTTTAGCTTAAACTTCTAGGATGTGTTTATAGATGACCGAAACTATTTTTTCTTTCCGAAAAGACGCCCCCTTCTGGCGTGAAATACTTGGAAGAGATTCAAATCTTGCTTTCCGAGTCTCTTAACTTATACGTTAATGTTGGTGTGAATTGCGATTTGAGAGTTCGTCGGCTGAGTTGCTGTTCAAGTGTAATCATTGTTGCACATTTTGAGACCCCCC